GATAAAACCAAAGGAAAGTAAAGAAACCCAGATTGGATATTTGCATCCCTACTCTTTATCTAAAATGGCTTATAGATAACTGTGGTTCATTATAGTTTAACTGACAGTTTTTTTATTCTTACTGTGTTGATACCCTGTATTGTGGAAAGTGAAAGTGTTAGTCCTTCAGTTGTGTCCAACTCTTTGCTGCCGCATGGACTGTAGTCCACCAGGCTCCTCTGCCCATGGAATCCTCCAGGTAAGAGTACTGGAGTCCCCAGGGGATCTTTCTGACCCAGGGATCGAAGCTGGGTCTTCCACATTGCAGGCAGATTCTTTACTGTCTCAGCCACCAGAGAAGCCCTGTATTATGGCACAGGACTGCAAAAGTGAATAAAACATGACCCTTCAAGGAGCATGTGATGTTTTCTATCCTTTTCTGCCCTTATGTTATTTTGTCTGCTTACTTGCTTTCAGCTCAGTTGTATGGGCATTAACTGCCACTTAGTTTAAATTTTGAGCTTGTCAATCCATCTTCTGGGGACACAGAGCAGAATTAACACTTACTTGATTGTGTTCGAATCCAGCTCGTGTGTTCTGCTATCATCTTGGTCATTCAGATTTTCTTCCTGTTTCATAATCTCTAAAGACCTATTCAAGGATCTATAAGATCTTAGAGCTGCTCTGTAAACTGCACAGGTAAAACCTTAGCATAGAGAAAAATGACATTTAAAAATATTTAATAAGAAAAGAATCTTATACCAGATTTTTTAATTGCTTTGTTAAAAGTCCATGGTATCTATGAATTTTTCATCTTGATATTAGAAGTGTCATTAGTAGTAGAAAATAAATCAGATTACTTTAATAAAGAAATCAAACATGACTTTAAGTATCCACTAAACATTATATCAGGGCTTCCCAGGTGGCTCAGTGGTAGAGAATCCACCTGCCATTGTAGGAGATGCAGATTCTATCTTCGGGTTGGGAAGCTTCCTGGAGGAGGAAATGGTAATTCATTTCTAAACAAAGAGCCCATTTCATCATTTTTCTTGCCTGAAAAATCCCATGGACAGAGGATCCTGATAGGCTACAGTCCATGGGGTTGCAGAGTCAGACATGACTGAGCATAAGCATTAAATTAGACTCATGGATAGTCATTGTCTCATCTCATGTGTCTTTAAAAGCTGGGTGTTTCTTTTTTAAATGACCTGTAGAATAGTGTTAAAAAGATTCTTAACCTAGAGCTTTCAAAATACAGTTAAAATAATGGTCAGGTGCTTTTAACTTTGGCTAAATTCTGATTCAGTAATCTTCTAAAAGTCCAGCCCATTTCATAATTTAATGTATAATAGATTTTTTCAACCTTATAATCAACTCCATAATTCAGAAGTTTTTAATTTAGCTGAAAAGAATTCTGGCTAGCAGACACTAGATGTATCCCTTTTAAGGTGAGATTATTTGGTAGTTTCTGCTAATTCTTTTGTCCCTTCCAAATAGTTTTTGGTGGCTAGACTGGCCGCTGTGACCACATATTCCATACACGACTCCCATTGCCTGTCCCCCTTGTACACAGGTCAGTTTATGCTTTTCTGTTGATTTCCACACAAAGTATATTCTTTCTTGGAGCTGTTAACATCCAGAGAGGACTGTTGAGCCTATGATTTCAAAGCTTCTATTTCTGTGTTCCAAAAGCTTCTATTTTCTCTGTTCCAAAAGTATAATTTTTAATATGTACTGTATATTGTGGGACAAACACAAAATATTTATTTTATTCTGTCTGTATTTATGAGAAATTCTTAAAAAAAGTGAACTCCACTCTTAATTAAGCAGAAAAAGAATTTCCTCCCATTATTTTTCTGTAATGTTTATTATTTGACTGGCTTATGATTTTTGTATCTTTTAAAATATAGTTAAGACTCTTAAATACCTGACTTGAACATTTTGAACATTGAATATATAGAAAAAATGTGAATTGTGGAATACAGGGTCTTTTTCTTACGTTGAGAAATGATGGACTTGGCTTTTTCTAGCTCTCAAGCTAGGTTTATACTTCTAGAGAATCAGAAGTCAAAGGGATGTATTTGAGTCAGTAGTCATGAATACCCCCCACACATCAGATAATCTAGGTCTGGAAAGAGGAATAAGCTTCATGTAGTATGAATGTACACAAGCCTTTTCATAGATAGCTATTCATACAAGAAATGTTGAAATAGTCTTGACCATCTGTTATTTGCTGTTTTCATTCATCCATTCTCCCCTTTAGTGTGGCATGTTGCATAAAGGACAGAATGTTGTTTCTACCTTTTCTGAAAATGAGTCTGTAAATGTTTAAGCAGCTACTGTATAGTTAATGCACACAAATGTGTTACATATGTCCAGATCAGTCTAACCAGCTAATTTCTAAAATTCCTAGCAATGAAAATAAAGACTGTACAAATGGCATTATTATTGCTGTTGTTTAGCTCTAAAAAATAAAAGTCTTCTACTTTCAAGTATGATCTCCCCTTTGGGATTAGGGCCTTTGATGTTTCATTGTTGTGTTTTAATTTATTAATTCATCTGAGGCAGCCAGAGAAGAAGGTTCTCTAGAATTTTATGAAGACTGTTTCTAATAATCTCTTATTATAAATGCTCATTAAGCATTTCTGCTTAAGCTCTATTTTCTGTTTGTACATTTGTCCTGTAGTGTAGTTGACTTAAATTGTTAAGCAAAACCAAAAAGATTTCTCATGCCTTTAATTGCATAAATTGTGATTTCTGACTTCAGTTTAAATTTTCTTATCACTAACAGAAGAAACTCACAGACCTCTGCCATCAAACCATCAAGGGCTTAAATTCTTTTATCAGATATGTTTACGAGGGCCACAGCTATGCTGCCTGAACTGCCTTTTTTTTTTTACTTTCTAGTTCACTAATCAAATGTATGTTAGATTGATTATTGTAAAAGTATAAACCATAGAAAATTTGACAAGATAGATGTGTAAATTATCCTTCTGACAGAACTAATGATGCACTCCAAGCACCTTCTGTTTTCCAGCGCTTGGTGAGTGACTTCATTAAATATGCAATGACTGTTGGGTGGCTTCTCAGACGATGGCTCAGTTCCTTGTGGAATTGCATTATTACTAGAGGTGTAAAACCAGGCAGACAAGCTAGCTGTTGGGCATCCTGCTGCGGTTCTAATGTGCTCCATCTTGCTGGAGCAGTTGTCTGCAGTCTTTTCAGGACAATTGCATCCATAACCACAGGACACACTCAGTGGAACTGTATTACAGATAACAGTGGAGGCTGCCATTGACTGCTCTTCACCCCACTCTGCTGAGTTGCCTCAGTGTTGGTGGCTTAAAGTGATGACACTTTCACCACTCAGAGTAGGTTTGCTTTCTTTCTGATACCCTGGAGCAAATCTGGAAATAACTGATTTGTAACTTTAAGTGTTAAAATCATCGGATATTTGAGGTGAAAAGATCCTGTAGATTCTAATCCCTTTGCAGATGAGAAAACTCAGGCTGAGGCATTGTGGTGAGTTGTCCCTTAGGGAGAGTGTAGGAGGACCTGGTAGAACATCTTTCAGTGGTAGAGATTGCATGAATAGGAATTTGTACATTCAGCTTCTGGTTTTAAAACTCTTTCTTAAACAGAATTTTTCTTTTGAATTTAAGATTTTTTTCTCCTGCTGTAGAGCATTTTCCCTCTTCTTAATACCAGCAGTACTTCTTTATTTCCAGAAGCCAAGCAGAATATTTTGCTTTCTGAAAATGTCATGCTATTTATTATTTTAATGACAATTGATGGTTTCCTGGGAAACTAGACAGAAAAGATGGTTTGATTTGAGCTTAAAATGGTATTTAAGATTTCCAAAAGGCAGATACTATGGTGTATCACTGCAGCCTGATAAATGGGAGTGCATTTTAGAATGACAGGCTGAATGCTTTAATGAAAGAAGCTTTCCCATTTTAGTTGGCCAATTAAATCATTGTTGATGACTTAGATCATTAATGAACATTTGTGGAAAATGACCATTTGAATTCAATTATTGCAATAATACATTTGACAAGTACTGACCACAAATAATTCTAGCCATAAATAAGGTTTATCCATTTTGTCACAGATAAGTCAGTATCTTGCTTTGCCTTTTAATGCCACAGCAAGTTGATGTTTCAGAATTCTTTTGTGGATTAAGTACATATCCTTTCTTACAAAAGTTCTATTTAGAAAAGATTATGTTTTTCATTGAATGCCTTTTAAAATATAATTTATGCTGCTAACTATTGTATTCATTATTCTCAGAATAAATTAGCAGGACTTAGAAAACAAGAAGGGAAACATATAGTATGTAAAATCTGATCATTATTATTTAAGATGGTTTAGGTATTTGATTTATTCAGTGATTAAAAAAACTCTAATTCTGGAAAAACAATAGGAAGAAAAATAACCATTATTTGAACATGCAAATTTATTGTAAAGTTACATGGAAAGAAAATGTAAATGGAAAGCTTCATAACCAGATTTTTTTTCTTAAGCCCAAAGTTCAGATTTTTTCAATTTTTAAAAAGATTTTGTTCTGCTCAGAATATTTTATGGATATGTATATCTTGTCATTTTTGCTTTAGTATACCCCAAAAAATCATCTGGGTGTGTTTTCTTTAGTTAATTTTATTTTCTCTGAAACTTTGGCATGTTTTGGTAAAGACCAGACAGAGGTGGGTTCTTTTGGAATGCATGTTTTTCTCATTTTGTTATTTGTAAAATGGGCCATAATCTCAGTCCAAGCTTCCTCCATCTCCATTTTATAGTCTGCAGAGAAAGGAGACACTGTGGAGCACAGGCTTCCCGTGGGAATACATTGGGCTTAATGAGCTTGATAGTCTGGTGGGCTCAATAAATCAAATAAAGCAAAACATTTCTCATTTTTGAATAAAAGCATTTATCACACAGTGTTTGTTCATTCATGGTCGCAAGATTGATTGGTTTCCACCATCGTAGTGTATATTGAAGCATTTTTGATTTTGTTTTTTCAGTGGGCAAGTTACGGAAGCAGTGGCTAAAGGAAAGTATCTCTGATGTCGGCTTTGGGATGCTGAAGTCTGTCAAGGAATATGTGGACCCCAATAACATCTTTGGAAACAGAAACCTTTTATAAATCCATTACTATTGCTAAGAAAAATGTCACTTTTAAGTCTTTAACTATGGTTATACCAGTAATCAAATATATCATGGACTTTATTTCAGCTGCATTTGTTTGTTGGTTTAAAATAAGTTTGTTTCATTCTGTAGTTTGTTTTGTTTCTGCATCTATGGATTGACAGATGGTATTCCTAAATCTCTCTCATTGTAGGTGCATTAGTTTACAGCCAACTGGTTGTCATTTCAAATTTCAGTCAGGCAGCACAAGGCTGGCTACCAGTTGTTATTTCAGAGGAGGATGCTGCCAGCTGTTCTGTATTGATGTTTCTTCTTGGGGAACAAAGGCAGATTTTGGTGTCATCTATTGTTTCGCCTGCCCGCTTTTTAAAAGAATGTTTCTGGGAAGCAGCTATGTAGGGAAGGATTCCACTGAGGAGTTATATACATGTATGTTTTTTTAAGAGTGCATTACTAGTGTGAGTAGGCCATTAAGGGAAAATACCTATGAAAGAGCATTAGGCAACCTCTTACTTAGGATGCCTCCAGTTCTGTAAGATGCGTGGCCTACATTTTTCTTTGAAATTAGTATCCAGTTATGAAACGTTAAATCATTAGGATGATTTATTCTGTCAGGGGACATCTTTTGTTCTCCATATTTCTGTTTCTGCTGAGGTATGAGTTGAATTTGTATCACTGAGATAACATATGGTTATATCCTAATTCATTTTTTATATGTTTTATAAGGAAAGCTGATGTCTCTTTCATTGTATGTGAAGAAAAGGTTTACCATGAAAGAAATGCCTTTATTCAGTTTAGAGTACCGATGTTTCTCATTTCACGTTCTTGTTGCTGAGATGCAGGAGAAGCTGCCAGAGGAGCGGAAGAAGGAAGACTCCTTACACTGAATGTCTCCAGTTCAAAGAATTGCTTGGCTGAAGAAACGCAGTCATCATTCAGCTACTGAAATAGGAAAACCTCAATAGTTTCAATGAGAAAAAACCTTTTTGTAAAAAAAATTAGCCCAAACAACATGAAAAATTTCCATATAAAAGTAGAGTTTCAATTTAGTTTTTAATAATGGTTTAATGCCTTTTTTGAATTACTGGTTTAACCTAAATTTTTAAAACAGTAGTTATTAATACAAATGCCATAATCAAAAGTTTGAAATATCATATTTCTTAAATAATAGAACATTAACCACACATAGCAAACATTTTTACATTCAAACCTGCATATTAAATAGTTACGTTGAATCACTGTCAAGGTTCATGATTCACATTTTGAGATGGATTCTTTTCTTAATGCAATATCTAACTTTTGATAATTTTTTTAAAATTACTATTGATCAGCTAATGTAAGTCAAAATGCAGATGATCCTTTAAAAGGACACACTGTCTGTTTATGTAGCAACAGCTCCAAAGTATTTTTGGGCAGTTTGATACCTTTTATATCTGATGTAGCCTTAACCAGAAAAGTGAAAATCTAAAATTGACAAAGTGATATTTTTAAGTCTTCAAAGTGATAAATAATTTTTAAAAAAATTGGCCTCAAACTAATAAACTTAAAATCTGTAAGCAAATAAAATTGAAATACTAGTTTAACAAAAACAAAATAATTATTTATTAGATGCTGCCTCTCTTCACTGGTGATTTATTTTTAATTAGAAAATTTCCAGCAGATCTTTGCTTCAAGCCCTTGATATTTGAAATAGTTGGATACCTGATGAGGAAATTAACACTTGCTTCTAGGGTTATAAGAATCTCAGCTTTATAAAATGCATCTATTCATGAAACTAATTTCTCTAATTGGTGATCAAAATGTAAAATTTAATACAGTACTAATATCTCACTGACGTGTATACATGTTTCTGAGTAATATTTTTACAATAAAACATAGATTCATAAGCAGATCCATTCCTTTGCATGTGATTGTTATAACATTCTTTTCCAGGGAGTTCAGGTTTCAGCAACCTCAGGATTAGGAAATGTAACACCTGAAATTGTTGGTTCATTATTCTACATGAACCTTATGGAAATTAGTGATTTATGCTTTTGTTTTTCTTCTCTGATGCATGCCTGACTCCCTAACCTTGATTTTGTAGTGACTACATTTTGCAGTTTGAATCATTTTCTACAGGAATGATTTTGAAACATATAAACACTTGTCAGTACTGTTTCATTTCTACAGGGATGATTTTGAAACATATGAACACTTGTCAGTACTGTTTCATTCTGATTTAGTAAATCAGAAAGCATTTCCCTGCTTCCACACTCCTGCTGTTGAGAGGTGCCTGAGCATATACTTAGTGTCTGCAGAGAGTTGAGTTCTTTTATACACACAGAAGCACTTAAAACCTTGCCTCCTGTTTCTGAAATATCTGAAAATGGCTTCATAAAAGTTAAAGCCAGGGGATGTTGCTTATGTGAGGCTTGAATAAGTTTATTTATGTAGCCTATTTGGTTTTCAGGACTGTATAACATTGATTTGTCTTTCTAAAATTAGCTATATTTTATTTGATGATGTCACATTTGAGTTGGCGTTTTAGTGGGAATAGGAATTGCTGCTAGTGAGAAATGGCATTGAATACTAAGGACTCAGTATGAACAAGCTTTATTGACCCTTAGAAAAATGGTTGCCTTAATGTTTGGTGCACTTTACAATGTATAAGTGAGTTTATTAGTCTTATACTAAGTAACATGAGCTTTTTTAGTTTTAGTTAGAATTGCAAAAGCCACATGTTTACTGTGCCCAGCATTTTACCACAAAGAAGGAGGATTACATTCTTTCCTGTGTTGAGGAATTGGGAGTTTTCTTCCTAAATAGTACTCTTACCTAAAAGCTAATTATGAAGCTGGAAGCCTTCTGGTATACATAGCTGTGTTGATGTATTTTGGAAAACAAAAATGCAATGAAGGATGAGCTTCTATCATTGTGTGTATTAAACTAGATGCAGGTGGTTACAAGAAAACCTCTTTTAGAATATCCCTTTAGTAACTGCTAAGTAAGTCCTAGCTTGCATTTTTGAAAATGACTTTTGCCTGTTGGCTCCAATGATTTTCTGCTGTCATATTCTTTTGTATTTTCTACTTCCTAACTATAGTTGATCAGAAAAGCCCTGTGGTCCCAAGCTGAAGCCTGTAACCTCAGCTGCTCCAATGGGCTGAGTTTGGTTGAGCATTTATTCTATGTAAACATAGGACACAAATATTTATTATGCATCGATGCATAAACTGCACATGCAGGTGCTTGAAGCAACCAAGGTGGAATTCGGTGGAAAGCATATCTACATTTTAAGAAGCACTGAGACAGGAGTTAAAGACAGCTTTAATAACTTTTTGTTACCACTTAATCTTTAGCAACTTTAATTTTAATTAGGGTTTAGCTCATGGTGTGTGAAAAGCCAAAAATAAGAAGTGCCAGGTTAGGACTGAAGAATCCAGAACCACCTTTGGCTTAACGAGTTCTGGAAGCTTGAAGTCTTCACATTCCCAGATGAGCCACCTGTCAATATATGTGTTTAATCCTTACTAATTTCATATACATTGATGCTGAAATCCAGGAAGTGTAAAAGATTGTTTTAAAAAACTATTGAAATACAGTGTGTGACATAAAGTATGTAAGTTACTCAGCTTTCTTCTCCCTAAGCCAACTGTTTGTCTTTAGTATGAAATTTAACTGTAAAAGCTACCTGTAATGTCACCAGATTATAGAAACTTATATTGTTAATAAAATGGACCTGGGTCTAAGAGATTTTTTTCTTCAAGGGGAGTATGAAGGTGTTTGTTCTTTTGTTTGCATCTGGGTTTGTCTTTCAATTTTAGTTCTTCATCTTCATATTTCCACCAATTTGAAAATAAAATTTTTGTAATTTTATTAATGAAGCATAATCAAGTCCAACCTAAATATAACTAAATCCTTTTGGATTTATAGCTGAGCATATTGTTAGCTAGGTTTAATTACTCTCTAATTATTTTAAATCAATGTTATATTCCTAGGAGGTGTTTAGTTTCCTGTGAACCTGAAGCATTCCCATTTGAACTTTGGAAGATCCTCAGAGAATGAGCACTTTTGTGCTCTTCTAACCACAACAGTTCCTTAAGAAACGTGAGTAAGGACCACTGAAGCCAAAGAACCATCACAGAATTAAGTAACTTTAATTCTGTAAGCATGAAAAGATTTTGTTTTGCTTCCCTAAGGAGTTTAACTTTATACTTTTTCTTCCCCACAAGGAACAAGATAATACATTAAGTATCATTAAGAACATTTTTCAAATACTCTGAACTTCCAAACAAGAGAGAGAGAGAGAGAGAAAGGAAACAAATGTTTTAGTGTGGGTTTCTAAGTAGTATATGTACATGTTTTTAAGGCATCTTATTGTTGGTAGTGTTTTTTGTGAGCACCCTATGATGAAACGTGTTGTTTAACCACTAAAGCAGTCTTGTTCACATATCCAAGAAGGACATGAAACACTTGTGCTGGTATACAGTTTCTATAAATAATTATTTTTTGAGCTATTTAAAGAATATTCCCCCAAAGCATACAGTGCCTTGTTGGGATGTTTTTTTTCCCCCCTTCCATGAAATAGCCATTATTTAAAATGAGTGGGAGAGGATAAGTCTTTAAAGACAGAGCTTGTGTAGCAGTTCAAAGCGATTCCTCTTCGAGAACACATCAGGAATTAAGTAGTTGTGTGTAGAAACATGGAAGATCCTTCCACAGTGTTGGTTTCAATCACCTATTCTTGCATATTGAACTAATCGTGTGGTAGACGTGTACTCTTACGTACACCTATTCAGTCAGTGGAATTTACATGTACTTTCTTGCATTTTCACTCCTGCTGTCCCAGCTTAGCCCTAAGATGTGGCTCGGCGGACGTGGCATATTCACTGTGTCATGAAGACACCCACTACATTTTAGCTGTTTGCTCACCAGCTCCCTGAGGAGCAGAGCCTGGAGTCGGGGAGGGGGTGGGGTTCGTATTCCTTATGTTGTGTGTCAGTCGTTTTTTGTGTGATG